CATCTCCCCTAATGCTGGCGCTTGTAATAAGCCAAAGGCCGGAGAGTCCATTTTCACGATATTCAGTAAGGAAAAGCTACATGCTGGAGGGTCTCTGAAGCTGACCAGGTTCCCACGGCTTGAGGATAGTGAGCCAGCAGTTGCTTCCTTCTCCATCATGGGCCGCAGCGAGCTGGCCCGTCTGCAGCTGGCCTCTCTCGGGCGCGGAACGGGCCTCAGGCAGGGGCCGCCGTGGGCTGGAGGTGGGCTGGCAGGGCTGTGAGCGCCTTCACGCTGGGATGGCCGGGGCAAGGGGAGCCCTGTTTGTCCCTGAGGGCTTCAGCCTCTGTATGGACAAAGGGAATGATAGGGAGAAGGAGGGAAGAGCAGAGAGACTCCCCTCCTTTGTGGGAGAAGATGAAAAAGAGGGAGAGAAGGAAGCAGATGAAAGAGGAAGCAGAAAGAAGCTGTCATTATAACCGGCAACTTTTGTACAGCAATTTATCCATCGCCTCACTCAGTCCTCTCAACCTCTCTCAGCAGGAAGACACTGGTATTATTTCTATTTGACAAACGGGGTGTCTGAGGCTCAGAGAGGTTAAGTGATTCAAAAAGATGAAGTGATTTGCCCAGATTCAGACACTGTGGTAGTCAGATAAAAGCAAAGGAGGCCAAAGACACTTGTAAAAGAAGAAAAAGATATGATTGGGGGGGGAGGGAGGTAAAGTGAAAGGGAGAAAAAAGGAAGAAATAGGAGGCTGGGCTGTGTATGGACTTGGGAGCCAGCCAAACCCAGATCTAGACCCAGTTTCCACTGATACAGCCATGTGACCTTCTATGAGTTGTGTAACCTCTTGGAACCTTCGTTTTCTCATTTATAAATTGGAGAAGATTCTATTTCCCCAGCAGGCTGCTGTGAGGATTAAGTAAGATGACATTTGTAAAGCTCCTAGAATAGGGTCTGGCATGTAGTAGGTGCTCAATAAATATTAGAGACCCCAAGGAGAGCGGGCAGGGAACATACAGGGAAAATGGAAAAAAGGGAAGAAAGAAGCTTCGGAGGAGAAATAAAGATAGACTTGGAAGGAAGGGAAAGAGGTAGACAGACAAAAGAGGAAGGAAGTAGGCCAGGGCCAAAAAAGTGTCGGAGAAAGAGGCTTAGGTTTCCAAGGGCTGCCACCAACCTGGCTGAGATTCCTCAGCCAGGAAGCAGCCACTTTGTCTGAACCAGGAGGGCCCTTCTTGTGTCTCCTTGGACAACCAAGTCCTGTTCATTGTCACAGAAAAGTGTTGTTAAGGATCTCAAGGTACAAAACAGACTAGAATGTCTCATGCTTTAGATGCAGTTTTCCCTGAGCATTTTAGGAGGCTTATGGGGGGGTGTGTGTAGAAGAGTTATAGGGCAATTCTGGGGGAATTCAGGAAGGAGGAACCCCACTGAGTGGAGATAAGCCATTGTGTCTGTGAGTGGAAAGAACAAATAGAGCTTCGCTTATTCAGTGTGGATCTTGGGGTGCCTCCCAGAGCCTAGACTAGTGCTGGGCAGGCCAGGGTGAGTGGGAGGCAGGGGAAGGAAGAGGGAAAGGCCCTGGTAAGTAAAAAAGGCCAAAGCCTGGGCTTCTCATATTGGTACCTGTACTTATCTTGGGGAAGTCAGTGTATTTCTCTAAGCCACAGTGTCTGCATTAGTGAAGTGGAGAAGGTCTGCCTGGACCCTCTTTCCCCCAGGTGTGACATGAAGATCAAATGAGATAATGGATGTGATAAATGCTTTGGAAACTGTGAAGTACGGTGCACACATATGGAAGCATTCACTCTATTAGAAAATGTATCTAATGACTCCGCCTGTGTCAGGCACAGGGCTATACACTTTACATTCATTATCTTGTTTAATCCTTGAATTAATTCTATAAAATAGGTAAAGCTATCCCTATTTATAAAGCAGGGCATTGATTCATGAAGAGAATAGGTGACTTTCTGGGGATTACCCAGCTGGTCAGTGGTAGAGCCAGGATCTGTCCAATTCTAAAACCAGTGCAGGTAATCCCTGCTCTGTACCATCTCCTTGAAGCAGAATCCTCTGCCCATGGAATTAGGCCTCCTTGCTTCACCCCTGAGCACTTGCTGTATTAATCCAGAGTGTTCTGACCAAGGGGCGTGAAAGGGAAGGAAAAAAATCCTTACCTATATCTCTCTCCTCTCCTCAGGGTTTGACTTCTTTGAAGCCAGCGCCAAGGAGAATATCAGTGTGAGGCAGGCCTTTGAGCGCCTGGTGGATGCCATTTGTGACAAGATGTCTGATTCGCTGGACACGGACCCCTCCGTGCTGGGCGCCTCCAAGAACACCCGTCTCTCGGACACCCCGCCGCTGCTGCAGCAGAGCTGCTCATGCTAGGCAAGGCCCACCCTCCTGCTCTCCCCTCATTGTGGCCCCACCCCCGCTCTGCTTCCCCTGTTACACTCTGTCCACCCCCAGCCCCGAGCCAGCTGCGTTGCTGCTGTTCTTTGCCTGCAGTGGAGGTGGAACCATGCTCCAGGGGTTCTCTGCAGATGGCCCCACTAACAGACGCTCAGCACTAGACTAACAGGCCAGGTAGCAACGTGGGTAGAGATTCACTTTATAAGAGAAGACTCCATTTACAAAGAGAATTCACTACAGAGTCTTGGAAAGCAAATCTCTTTTCTGCCTTTAGAATAAGATTTCCTCCATTTACCAAAACATGACACACATATACTTTTCAGGGCCTGGCCAACTGTGTAGAGTGAGGCCCACCTTCACAGCTAATCCTATTAACGAAAACCTCCCCATACATGACATGCTTGTTTCATATCAGGCTCCCCTGTGGAGCTTCCTCGCACTGCAAGGCAAGCTTTGCTCTCAAAGCCCTATGTCTGTTACCACGGATGCCCACAGGGCCTGGGCAGTTGCTGTGGTGACAGGCCAGGGCTAATCTCCAGAGAGCTCTCTAATGATGCTGGAGGAGCAAAGGCTGAGTCAGAAACACCCTTAAAAGAAAAAGATTATTCCCCGCAAAATGTCAAAGGTTTCTGCTCTATGAAAGAGCAAACTAGGGAGTACAAGAAAGACAAAGAGAAAAAAGGAGAGAGACACAGGCGAGATAAAAAAGCAAGTCATGAATTTCTGATTTTGCCACTTTCCAGATGGTTCTTAACTGTGGGAACTCTATGAAATTGGTCATTGGCTCTTAAATTCCCAGAATCTGAAAAATTTATAGAGTTGGTAGGATCCCGAATCTGACCTAGTCTGACTAGTTAATCCCAATCCCTATCTCTGACAAGTGGCTGCCAGACTTCACAACCAAATCTTTTCCTCTAAAGCACACATTCCAGGCAGGGACGGGAGCTCGTTGTTCAAACCATCTGTGGGCAGCTCCCATAATCCCAAACTTTTCCTTGTTTTAAGCTGAAGTATGCCTCCTAGAAATTCATCCTTTTCTCACTCAATTTGTACTAGCTCTGCTGTCAGAGAGCTCACAGAGTCTGCTCCCTCTGCCCCATGACACCCTTAGGTGACTAGAGAACTTAAGTCATGATCCCTGGGACCTGCACTTTCTCTAAGTCAAATAGTTCTAATTCCTTCTTCTGTGATTCATAGGGTCTTCTCCACATCCTGCCCTTTCTTCCAACCCATCTTTCAGTCACTCCTGAGTAGTCCACCTAGGAAGTGGGATTCGAAGCAGAATAATTCTAAAGGGGGAGGGGGGGTATGACACGGAAAACATTAGGAAAAGTAAACTCAGATGTTTCAATCCCAACCTCATATAGTCTCCTGGGAGTGAAACCTTAGTTTTTTACCAAAAAACCGATGTGAAACCACTCCTGGAGGAAGAGGCTTAATTAAATGCCAGAAGAAAACAAAGATACAAAAAAATCCTCTGAAACTAGAAACAAGCTGAATGGATTAACTCATGATTCTAGCTCATGTTTGTGGACACTGCACATGTTTCGTTTTTAGGTGAAACAATGACATGGAATGAAGTGATGATCTCTGCACATCTTTTCTCCCAACCCTGAACCCACAGTGTTGTTCCCAAAACCCCCCCTCACACTAACATGTGACCTCAAAAGTCAGTGGGGGAGGAGGAGAGTCTCCCCCAAACTTTCTCTCAATTTCAAATGCAGCTCATTGTCTTAGGAAAGTGCATTAACTAGCAACAGGCCCCTCCAGAGCCAGCCCTATGGAGATGTTGCTTTCTCTGATGCAGAGCAGAGGATGGACTTTGGTCTTGGAACCAGGAGACCTGGGCTCTCTGCCCTAAATCAAGTGTGATGCTGGACCAGTTACTCCTATCTCTGAGTCTTGATTTTCCACTTATAAAATGAGGGGGGTTATTTGGATAATCTTTAATGTCCCTTCTCGCACTAATAATAACTCTGTGACTCTTTTTCACCTTCATTATTTCAGTTGATCTGCAAAATAAACCCGAGACATGAGGATCATCATCCCAGTGTCATTGTAGCTAACACTGATGTCATTGTTCCAAGCGCTTTACATGGATTAACTCATTTATCTGCCCAACATTTTTGTGAGGGAGGCACTATAATCAACCTCATTTAAAGATGAGGAAACTAAGGTAAAAAGAGATTCTCTAGCTTGCCTAAAGTCATAGAATGAATAAATGATAGAAAATGGGTTCAGACCCAGGCGGTAGGCTCCAAGGTTTGTGCTCGTCACTGCTTTCTATACCACATTGCTTATAAACTATGACCCAAAGAAGGTAAGAGACTTTGCCAATATCACACAACAAGCAAGCATTAGAGCCATCAGATATCCCAAGGCCATCAGATTTCAAGTCCACTGGAGAAAAAACCTGTCTCTAATCTGTTAACAAATTGCTCAGTGATTCGGACGAATCTGAGGTAATGAATGTCTAACACTCTAGAAAGCAGCAATCAGTCTCTTAAGCAACTCATTCCATGAGTCTGAGCAAAAAATGCCCAGTGCTTCTCTGGCCCAAGCACTGGCTTTCCATGTATCTGCCTTTGTCAGACAATTCTTTATTTTTATTTTTTTATTGATTTTAGAGAGAGGAAGGGAGAGAGAGAGAAAAAATCAATTTGTTGTTCCACTTATTTATGCATTCATTGGTTGATTCTTATATATGCCCTGACTGGGGATTGAACCCTCAACCCTGATGTGTTGGGATGATGCTCTAACCAACTGAGCTGTAGGCAGTTCTTATCTAGCTCCCAAGCGGTGCTCTGAGTGGCCTCCCTGCTCCAGCAATTGGGGCATTTTGTGGAAGTGACTTGACCAGCTTCTCTGACCATGGAAGAACGTGGTCCCCTCACAGGGCAGGAGTTCTGGCTGTGCTTTTCACACTGTAAAGTCCCATACAAGTCAGGGCTAATTACTGTTTTTCTGGGCAGTAACATCCACCTACCCTAGTACTAGGGTTTCAGACTGAGCTCCTCATGCCCCCTGGATATTTTAGTACATGGTATGAAATAATCTTTCCTCTCCTACTTAGCAGCCAAAGATTGAAAATTGTATTTAAAAACTGTCAAATTCTTTAAAATTCAGGAGCCAGTTCAAGGGAGCAAGCATCTTTGCAACAGATGGAATCAAGAGTTAAATGTAATAGTGGCAAACTCTCCTGCCTGTGACAGACAAATAGACCTGCTTATTAGATGGCAGTTCCCCAGCCCTGCTCTGTGACCTCGTTTCCGCTAAGTGGAAGGCAGCAGCTTCCAGCTGATTGCAGCGCAATGTTCATCAATCACAGTAATAGCACAGCCAGACACCAAGGTTCAAGCTGCATAATATGTGTTAGTGACAACTTGTCCCGGTTTTCATCATGTTTAACAGTCCAAATAAAAGAAGATTTTTAAAAAAACAACCCTTTTGACTTCTAAAGAAGCAAAAGTAGGCCAAAAGTGCAATACAGTATTGTAGCTATTTATAGAATCTGTTTTAAATGCATGTGTATCTGTAAATATAAAGTGATTCGTGACTTATTATTGTCTCTTCAGTCTGTAGCATTAACTTCTAGAAGCAGCAAGGGAGTAGAGTGCACTGAGTGATCACAGACTCGTTGAATATTAGATATGGAAATAAGCTCAGAGAAAATCTTGTCCAGGCTCCTTTTGTTTTACAAAAAGGAAGGTTGTGGTCTAGAGAGAGGGAAGAAATTTTCTAAGGTCACTCTGAGAGTGCATTTATGATGGAGCCAGGAGTGGGTCTTAGATCACCTCTGGGGAAAAAAATCACCTATCCTGTATATATCTATTATGGGCCTGACACTATTAAATATTAGATAAAGACAGATGGAAACAAATGATCCCTGCCTACAAGGTACCTATAGTATAATGGAAGTGTTTCTAAGATACTATGACCCCAACTTGGCAGGCAAGGAAACATAGCCTTGGAAAAGTTAACATGCCTAAGTCACCCACTAGAATCATCCGAACCTGACTCTGTCTGACTCATGAACTTTCAATTTTTCCTCTTCAGGTTGTCTGTCAGAGGAAGGATATATGGGTGGTGGCTATGACACACTCCGAAGGATCCTGAGTTAATTAAATAACCTCAGTTGGGACATTGGTCTCACAATTGCTTTGTGACTGCAGTCTTGTAACATCCACAAAATATGAACACCCTCCAGACCTGACTTTCCCACTCACATCCCCTGCTCCTGCCCCCAAACTCTTTCCTTGGGTATCAAGTTTCCTCAAGTGTCTTGAAGTATGTTTATTTGTTTGCCAGCAGTTTGGGATAAGAGGAAGGAATTACAGCAACCAGTGTCCTGGGATCTCATTGATTTTAGATTCCCCATCCCAAACCTACACCTGATTACCTGCCACAGCTGGTGAATCGAATAGCAGCCTGTGACTGAGAGTGTGAGCAAGAGACAAGCCCATGGGTTCATACTGTTAAGCGATGTTTTGGAAAGCCTGGGTCCCTTATGTGAAGTAGGCAAACTCAAATTTATTCATTCATCAAAGTAGTGCCTAACATGTACCAGGATACAATCCGTGGCAAATCAGACACAGTCCTTGCCTTCATGAAGTTTATAGTCTAGTACAGCGATTTCCAGTTGGCGTGTCACAAGAATTTTCAAAACATGCAATACCTGACTATTTAGTCAGGGGCACTGACCTCTTTTCCCTTAGATTGTCAAATTAAAAAAAATGACAACAGCTGACACAATAATATCCATCTGGTGTGAATGAATAAAAAACATTTTTTTTGTCAGATCAGCAAAAAATATATTTTTTGGCGTGCCGCTGAATTTTAGTAATTCTTCCCTATTTGGCTCTCAGTTTTCTTACTGTTCTAAAGTGCAGTGATTATAATGTTTAAACACCGATTATTTTAGAAAATCCCACTTCTATGGACTTTCTGATTAAGACTTTGTATAATCGGGAACTAAGCCCACTCTCTTCATTTTCACTTCTCGTACCTGAACGCATGAGGAGGAGGGATGTCGCAAGGTGAGAGGCAGTTCTCCAGGAACACTGATGACAGCACAGGCAAAGGTTCCTGTGATTAGGTCACTGGTCCACAGAGTCTGGCTGCCCAAGTACTTGGAAACTAGATAAAACATCTAATGCCACAGCCGCTATTTCTCTACATCTGTTTCTGTTTCCCTTCCAACTCGATGACACCTGACATCTTGAGAGAACACCACTGATGGGACCGAGCTGTGTGACATGCTTTTGCCTGTTGGGCAAAGTAAATTAGCAAAACCTTGAGGGGTGTTAATAGAGTTCCCAGCTCCCTTCGGAATCTCATGCACTTCAGGGTGGAGGAGGGGCTTAACGACAGACAGGGACAAATCTAATGCGCTGTGCAACCTTAGTTAAATCACTCCCTATCTCTGGGCTTTGGGAGCTTAGACTGGATGGCTTCTGCAAGCCCTCTCTGCACTAATAATGCTCTGTGAGTTTATGTCCATTTTCTATAAGAGCTGCAAGTTGCAAACAGGATTTGGGCAGAAATTCTTTTATTATGAAAGCCTCCTTCCTTCTTGGGTACAATGAAAACAGCCAAGGCTGAAGTGATCTCCACATCACTCAGCCGGGTTTGGGGCCTGGTTTCTGAGGCTGCCGGAGAGCATCTTAACAATGAAGTGCGTCTGGATGGTCTATGACTGCCTGTCCCATGCCAGAGGTTTCTAAAGGGTAACAAGGAAGAGGAGGGACAAGCACCTCTGAGGAGACTTGTTAAGAATGGAGCACAGGCCCACGTGTTTGAGAAGAGATACCAGGCAGCCATGATCAAGAGCCACAAATGCATTCTAATCCAAGGCGGACTTAATTTGTAGAGCACCAAGCATGTGCCAGGCTCAGCCGGGCAAGATCCTTCTGAGGACAATCTCTGTCCTGCAGCTAGATGCCTGGAAACAAAAGGCCTGAGAGATTTGCACGCGCTGGGCTATTTTGCAAACATCAGACCGCAGCATGAGGCCTAAGGAGGTCCTACTTTAGAGTAGTTGGGAGCGTAGGGCTTACGGTCTGACCGATCTGGGATCAATTCTTGGTCGTCTTCACTAAGTAGTTGTGTTACTGAGAAAATTACTTTCTGAGCCTCAATTACTTCATATGTAGATAGAAAAATAACACATACCTCAATAGGTTGTTGAGGAGATTAAATGAGAGAATGAGTGTAAAGCCCTTAGGGCAGTGCCTGACAAACGTGGTGTTTACTTCGCAGTCAGGCAGAGCCAGGGAGGCAAATCCAACCCAGGATTTTCGTAAGGGCACTAAGGAGAAAGAACCCAGTGTAAATACCTATGAGCAATAGAAGGAGGGATGCAAGTTGGAGATGGAGCCTGGACTTGGAAAAATAGATCAAGGTAGAAGCTGGTCAGGAACAAGGGAAAAGAGTCCAGAATGGCTGCGAACAGCTCGGTTGCATGACCTTGTTGGGCTGACTGCCACCAGACACCTGACAGAATACCTCATGTACTTCCTCCTTCCTCCCAGAAAACAAATCTCCAGGGGTAAGAAATAAGCCACCAATGAGGATTTAGAGTGTTCCGGAGTCTGTGTTAGACGTGCTCTCCCACGCTTAGAAAATTAGGATTCCGGAGACCCGGGGTTGAGTTCTGCCTCTGCAACATGCTGTGTGACCTTTGACAAACACATTTTCATCTATAATAGAAGATTAATAATCTTGCCTACTTCACAAAGTAGTTGTGAGAGTCAAATAGAAGTGCATTTTAGAAACTGTGGGATGTTGTAGACATATACATTACAGCCACGGTGAGGGGCTGGGGTAAGCCACATTTATTCCAGAATGAAACGGGGTATACCACTCCCAAAGCCATTTCCAAAGGTCCTTTCCTCCCTTTACCTCCTCTCCTCCTCTCTCCAAATTCTGGCTAACCTCACATGGAAATATCAGGGCCAACATGCCTTATACCCAGAGGTTTGGTTGGCTTCAGAGAAGCTTTAGGAGGCCAAGAGCAGCCAAAGAGAATCAGCCAGAGCATGCTGAG